TATACTATAAAAATACTAAATCAAATAATAAAACTAAAAATAAAATAAAGAAAAATAAAGAAATAGAAAATTATAGATGTGACACTATCTATAAAATATAGTACTAGTATATTTTTGTTAAATAGTAAAAAAAAAACTATTTTTTTTAACTTTATATTTGAAATTACTAAACTAAAATTAAAAAAATTCTCAAAACAAGGTCTGGCAATCTAGTATAGTAATTAGGTTATCAGATCACCATGCAATAGATCTAGAGTTCAAATCCTACTATCAATAAATTTGAATAATTTCTCAAACCTTGTGATATGTTATAGTAAACTTTATTCATTTCTGGAGGCATACCTTTGTAAATTAAGTTATATCAAATCAATCAGAACTTAGAAGTATAGTATAATATTATATGAATAAATCATAATAAGATATACAGACAGAAGATCTGCATAGTAGAAATCCCAAGTCAGTGAAGTAGTACAACCTTCTGACAGAACTACATTAGCTAAAGTCTAATTTGAGAAAAAAACTCTATTTAATAAAGATAGAAGATTTTAAGGTCTTCAGACAAGGGTAACTGGGACCAGCTGCATACTAGAAAAAGACTAGGTTAACTGACTAGTAGAAGACTATGATAGAACCTGAGTTGTATGAACATCTACAAGGGTCTAAGCTAAGTGAATTCATAAAATAAGTATAGACTGCTTTAGTAGATTTGCTTTGAGGTTAACTAGCTCTGCGATACTAGTAATATATCTGATATAATATATTCTGAGAGAATCTAAGCCATTTTGAATAAATAGATCTGTAACAAGCTAGCTAGCTTAAGTAGTTAGGTGTTGTGATGATATTAAATTAGATCTGTATAGGTTAATGAACAGAGTATTTAAATAAGTAACTCACAGACGAGTTACAGATATAGCAGCATAGTGTAAAACCAATTAGGTAGCCTAACACCTGTATGACAGACTACTTAAAATAGACAATAACTAAAGTTGTATATATAGCTTGTTGTATACTCTTCATGTAATTACAAACAGTAGAGATTATCAATATATAATCCCATTGACAATTCTAATAAAATTCCTTTGGCAATATAAGCCATCTTAACAACAAAAAAAAAAAAAAAAAAAATTCTCAAAACCCTTAAAAGAAATTTACTTTTTAAAAAAAGTAGCTTAAACAAAAATATTATTACAAAATTTTTTAAATTTTAACCTGTAATATAGATAGATGTAAATAACATTTGTTTAATAAAAAGATGCTTACTGCGTAAAAAAATAAAAAAATAAAAAAATAAAATTCCAATATAACTTAAATTTGATAAATATTTTGAGTTGTTTACTAACTTTGAGCGAAGATAACTCGACAACTACTAAACCAAATTCAATAAAGTTTTTTATTTGAATTCTAAGAACCTGTAAATTTAATGTATTGAATTTTGGCAATTAAATGTCAAGATACCTTCGCTTAAAGTTTTGTTTTTGATAGTAATATGTAAATCGTAATTCTATTGGTCGATTCCAAAAAAGAAAATTTGAAATACTGGTCATTAGAAGGTATCCTGCTAGCAGTTACAGATAAAACGATTATACATATGTCTTTGTACTACAAGAAGATCAAAATTCCCTCGTGACGTAGTAGTAAACACTGTAAACATAATAATTTCGCGCTTTCACAGTTTATCTTGTAAAAAAAACTTCTATTACCTTTGGTCTTTTATTACTTTTCGACTTTGGCAAAATGTTTTACTCGGAAGCTATTTTGTCAAAAAAGGTTTTTTTTTTTTTTTTTAAACATAGTTTCTTTCTCTGTTTGAACTATATCAGACTATTTCTATCACTAATTTTTTAACACTAAAAAAAAAGGGCCCATTAGCGAAAGTGTGGCTAGCTGCGCACTGGGAGCGAAAACTAAGTAAAGCACAATTTTTACAGACAAATATACAGACTTCTGTAGGTACGTATAACCTTATAAAATGAGTTTCTGTCTATGTTGAGTCTCAAAATGAACAGAATGAACAGTTCTGTTAATTTGGGAAAGAATAATAAAATATTAAAAAGTTATTCTTTATATATATATATATATATATATATTTTAAGGAGCTATTCTTGGTGGAGATCAACCGCCAATGGCACTACGATTATCAGGGCAATTATTATTGGGAGTTGTTCGCATATATTCAAGAAAAGCGAAATATTTGCTTGATGATTGTAATGAAGCTCTACATAAAATTAAGATGGTATAAATTTAAGCAATGATTATATATGATTATATAGTTATATTATCAGGCATCACTGATCTGATCACATATTTTTTTGTGTAAAGGCATTTAGGCCAGGTGAAGTTGATTTAGTTGAAGAACAACGAATAGCCAATTTTGAATCCATCACATTACCAGATAATATTACGGAGTTTGATATATTATTACCAGATCCCAGCCTTAATATCAAGTAATTAAACTCAGATAGTTACTTAAATATTTCATTTTACTAATTAACTAATATAAATATAATACAAATAAAATTAGGCAATGGACTGATATAACACCAGTTGCAACGTCAAGTTCATCTAACATCTCCAGACCTCAAGACATTACTATAAGAGATAATTTCGATGTTTCATTAACATCAAATATTGGGGATGATTTACTGGGTGATGCATTTGATATAGAAGATGGACGAGGACTAGATCTTAATTTGGACGATGAGTTCGATCCGAAGACGCTCGGTCATGATACCAGATCCGAAAGTAACGATGGTTCAGCCGATATTGAAATTGCGAGAGATGCACAACCCGAACTGTCAATGACAATGGAAGATGTAATTGGCAGTGGTAGCAAAAATACAAATGAGGATGATCTATTAATGATAGTAGATGATGGACCTGTTACCATCACAGAAGAAACTCAAAACCCAACTATTACAATCACAGAGGAAACTCAAACTCAAAACCCAACTATTACAATCACAGAGGAAACTCAAAATCAAGAAGATGAATCGGTTCAAGAAATTCTGAGATTCACCCCGTTGTCTCCACGAAGTCCTGAACAAGAAGTTCAAGAGTTATTTCAAGATGAAATTATTCAACCTGCAACACCAAATCGCAGAAAGCGTAAATTGATCGTAGATGATGTGACTGAATTGCCAAATAGACATATTGCAAACCAAATTAAAGATACTTCTGATATTTTGATCACGGTATGCTGTATAAAATTGTTAAATATTGTTAATATTATTAAATGCGTTTACTTTTAATAAAAATATATTATCTAAATTTCTTATTTATAGCCTTCTTTTCTTCAAGCATCACGTAATTTACTGCGCATCGGGGAGATTCGACAAACTGGAGCTTCTTATTACCTTGATTTAAATGTTCCGCATAATCTCATGCCACAATTTCATCATCTCTTTGCTCGAAAACGTCTGAGGATGTCTCCATCACCACCTCCTGAGGATTTTACTCAAGAAGAGACTGTTCAAGCTGGTCCATCCCGAGTTGATAATTCAATAAATAGAGAAGTTATTGAACATGAAAACAATGATAATTGCGTAAGTAAATTCAGATGCTGAAAATGATTATATTAAATGATTATTAAACAAACATTTTGTTTTTAGGGCGATTTAGACGTTCAAAATGCATACGATAGTCCTATTTTTGATCAGGGTACTGTAATAATAATTTTTATATACATAAAACTATTTTTAATATATATAATTTTATTCTTATTGATTTTTATTTTTATTTATTCCTTTTTACCAGAATCAACTAAAGGTTCTGTTGTAGAAGAAGTAGAAAAGGAACAAGATCAAGAAAAGACTCTCAAGAAAAAGGAAAAGGAAGTTGTTATTGAACAAAATCTAGCCACGCCAGTAGAATCAACGTCAGAACATGATATTGAGAATAACTTTGAAACGGTAATAACATAGGTTAAAGAATTTTTTTGGTTTGTTGATGTGGCACAATAATCACAATTATCATAATTATATATTGTTATAGTTATCTCTTCATGAAAATGATTACGATAATGCGCAAGATGTTACTAGTTCTATTGATGATGCAGGTACGCTTTTTATTAAATTATTAAATATAAGAATTGGATAGGCACCATGCAAGTCTCCTTATACTTTTTATTTTTAATTCTTTTCTGTTTCTAGAGTCGTCATACAACCGTGGTATAACTATTTTTGATCAAGATGAGCCACAAGATCAACAAACCACAGGAAATGAATCTGCATACAGCAAAAATACGATTAAAACTATGCGACTTTTGAAGGATAAATGTCGCGGTGAAATAAGTGATCGAGCTAAATCAAAAAGTCCAGCGCAAGTGGTTGTTAGTTATGAATCAGTTGTTGGCACGGTAGGATATTAATAATACAATAAACTGTACTCCTGGATCATGATATTAATATATTATATTTTTCTATATTCAGGCTAAACGGCAAGATGCTGTTAAGTTATTCTTTGAATTATTAGTTTTGAACACTAAAGATGTTATCCACGTTAAGCAAAGTAAACCATATGGCGATATCGAAATTCTATGCAAAGTAAGGATCAAAAAGTCACGAGTTATATAAATTTAAACGGGTTAATATATTAATTTAAATTTTCATTATCTTAGGACAAATTATTCGACTTACTAGAAGAAGGAGTTGTTTAAAACTAGATGGATCGATTATTGATCCCCGAAAGGTCGGGATATGCATAGTAGACTATTCAATCAATCATGATAATAAAATTTTTAATGTTTTACATAGTTAATGGGTCCAGGATTGACATTCTATTTATAAATAGATGTTTTTCAGTTATCCGATTATTTTATTCATTATACTGTAATTATACAAACAGCATTGTGATTGGCTAATTTTGTAGTTCATGTGATTTGTTAATATATGATATGATTGGTTAACGGTTACCACTGCAAAATTTCTTATCAGTTATGTATTACCACTGTGTAATGATAAGACAAATCTATATAAAGAAAATACTCATGCTAACATTAGCGGGCCCGATTTAACTGTCTCTAAATGCAGGAAGCACATTAAAAAGACTTATCAATGTTGGAGTTGAATTCCTTATTTTTATGATGTGTTAGTACTGTACTTTCAAAAAAAGTTTTCCAGTTCATAATAAATGTGCTTTTAGTTTAAAAAAATATTTAAAATATTTACGTTGCGTTTATTTTAATGAAAAGGAAAAAGTAATGAAAAAAAAACTATCAATTAAACATAATTACAAAGTAATTTATATTTGCATTTTAATGAAACATTTGACCATAGAATTTACGCTTCAGTGTGAGGTTGAAGATTTTCTTCTTTCGCAATTCTCTCATTCTGTATTGAAATTAAAACTTCAACGACTTTTTCAATATTTCCAGAATATTTTTCCAAAAGTTCAATATTTTTTTCATCATCTTCCCAGAAACCCATCGAATGAAGAGTCTCTAATTTTTCTACTAATGTCGCGTCATCAAAATTTGGGTCATTCTGATGTCTTTGTCCAAGACCTACTTTTCGTAACCATGGTTCAATTTTTTGTGAAAAAAACTGATCTGAATCATTATATTTTTGTTGAGTTTGTTGTTGTCGTTGAAAATCATTAAAATGGGATTTAAACCATTGATCAATGTCGACGGGAACATTTTGTAAAATTTGATCCATAATAGCATTTGCTTGTTCAACGAGTTGCGGATTTTTATCCAATACGGGTCGTATCTGTTCAAGTAAAGTTTGAAATCGTTGAGCTAAATCGATGAACGGAGCTCTGGTTTCTTCTTCATTTGATTGCTGTTGATCTGTTGAACTAGACTCTAAAGGTATATCTTCCTCAGCGGCTCTTTGCTTACCTTTTGAGATAGAAGGAATTGTAGGAGTAAAAATTGGTTCCTCAGATTCATTTGTCACTGTTACATTGCGAGACAATGGTTCAGCATTAACAATGGGAGTTTGGAAAGTAATGATAGCATCATTAGATTGTTGAGGCTGTTGAGTGATCCGAGGAACGATAGTGAACCTTAAAGTGGTATTGGGTTGTTGATTAGATAAAAGATCATTAATTTCCAAGTCAGTTGATAGAGTAATAACATCGCCATCTTCGTCAGTATATGAAAGCGAAAAAGGGAAAGTAGGTGGTAAAGAAAATAAAGTGCGAAGGTTGGATTCAAGTTCGGTCCAAGTTGTTGTTTCAGAAACGGAGAAACGACGTACAATTGATTGGTATTTTACTTTGATAATTGGCATTTTTAAATTTTTTTTTTTTTTAAATGTGAATTTTGAGAAAAATTTTATAAATAAAACTTTAAGAGAGGTTTTAAAATTAAAATGAAAAACGCCATCAGTCCTCTATATATAAAGATTTCCAATTATGTATACGTAATAACTGCTTACGAATATATCTGATATCACATACTTTACGTACGTACGTACGCACGCAATACGAATATGGAATACGTGTACACACGTTTTATGTATACGTAGTCACACTTTACTATAATCACAAATGTCTTTACACCAGTATTAAAAATTCGTTGTGCACGTAATGTTATTTGAACAAAATTAACAATAGGACTGTGAAAATGCACAAAAAAATTTTCTGTACAACGTATTTTTAACAGAGAATGTGACTATCATATCGATATAAGAATGAAAAGTGCGACTGTAACACAAAATTACAATTATCGTTATACAAATTATAAATTTCTTAAAAAAGAGGTTAAATATTGTTTACCTATTGTGTAATTGATTTGCATTCTTGAATTAACGTTAGCGGCCTACATAAGCTACATACGTAATTGAGAGTGACTTGCCTATAATAAATTTTAGTTACGGCGAATTTTTATAGAAAGAAAAAAGAAAATGAAAGATTTTTTTTGAATAAGCAATTATTTCATTGGATATATTAATTGCCTGACAAAAAAAAACTAAAGATTTCGATGCAAAAATATAATGAAGAGGGAACCTTGCCTTCTGGCGGAATCGAACCGCCGACCTTCTGCTAACGGATTAACCTACTAGGCAGACGCTCTGCCAACTGAGCCAAGAAGGCTGATTCTTTACAAGTGGCGAAAATTTGTAAATTCGAAGTGACATTCCACGTGATTCTGAATAATATTAAATTGTCACGATGATCGTGAAATCGGATGATGCTGAAATTTAGTACCCATAATACCTACAGTACTAAAATCCATAATACCAGTCAGTACCTACATACGTATACTCTTTTATTAACAACCCTAACCCTAACCCTAAAAAAGCTATAAAAAAAGCCCTAAAAAAATTTAAATTCAGCATCATCCGATTTCACGTTCATCCGCGACATAAATTCGATAAGAAAACCAATAGATTTACATGTGAATTTCGAATAAAAAAAACCCCTGAACCGTTAAATTCAATGCGCAGTGTCATATAGACACCGATATCCAAGAAATATAATAGCGAAAATATTATCGTTTTTTTTTTAGAAGTTAAATACATTGATTGTATTCAATATTTCGTCCAGTTGTTTTTACCGAACCTCTCTCCATTTCAACAGAAAATACTTTCACATTTATTCTCATACTTAAATAACTCAGCTACCTTACTCGCACCTATCTTTCTTTATAAAATATTTTTATATTTTTCCTGATTTATTGTTAATTGAACAAATCCACCTTCATATGTTTCTACATGTTTTTGCTTAGAGATATTGCATCCAATATTTGCATGCATTTTGCCGACGATTAATATTTCTTTCGTTATGAAATACAGTACACTAATTTAAAGTTTTTCTTTTAGCTTCTAAAAGATTAAACTTTTTAAAGATTATCCAATTCAGTCACAAGATCATGTGTAACTTAAGTAAACCTGTCTTTTTTAACCAGTTAATTACGAAAGCCTCCAAAACCAGCCAAAATCAGAAAAAATGCAAAAAAAAAACTTCTTATATAATTTATGAAATGCCTTCTGCGCATTAATAAAAAGTTTCTCACCTAAATTTTGGTATTATTTATACACTTTAAACCTTAAAACAACAGCAAACACCTAAGTTATTGTATATAAATATTGGAATCGATGAGTTTTAAGCGTTGTTTAGTCACAAGCTTCAGATTTTCGAGCATCGGAAAAAATATTCGAATGTTCGAGTTATATACAAAATATATTATTAAATTGTAATTTACATGTCGTTTATTTAGCCTATTTGAATTTGAAATGTCATTTAACGTTATTTTTTTTATATTTGTACAAGGGGGATGGGGAAAAATTAAACAAACTGATTTGAAATGTTATTTTTTTATATGTACTGTACAAGGGGGTGGGGAAAAATTAAACAAACATTAAAATTAAACGAGGTTTAGTAGGTTAATGTGAACCTAAATTGGGTTTATATGAACCTAGATTAGGTCAAATCCCGACATGCTCGTTGATTGTTTGTCTAGCTTTCTGAGATTTAGCGATCTGCTTAAATTTTTCTGCAATACTCATATTGTTTAGGGAGCTTTGGAAGTGGGGGGGAATAACGTTAAACGAAGTTTCAATTTAAAACAGCCTTATATTTATAAATAAAAAAAAACAACTATGTATATAGTTAAATTTAACTTTGACTGATACTCGATGATTGACTGAATTAAAAGCTCAATGAATAATGCTCAAAAATTTTGATCGATGGTCGAATAATTATTCATAGATTCCAATCTCTAATTGCATAATTATTTTCTCAC